TCTAGGGTTGCAACCACCCTATCCAACTTCTCCTCAATCCAATTTTCAGTTCCCTGCCCCTTTTCTCATGTAAAGGGGTAGCCTTCCATGGGAATCTGCAACAAGCCACATGCATCCAAGGTCTCCCCAAAATCGCGTAGGAGCCCCTCCATATGTGGGTTACGCCCCCGCTTCTCAAATTGCAACAGGAGATCATTTAAATCCACAACTACAACCCAGGGAAGTGCTGATTGCCCCGCTAACCTCCTTAACAACTCCCAGGACTCCCTCCTCCTATCTCTCTCCGGGTACCCATAGAAACACGTCATCCTCCATAGGTCATACATATCCACAGTCACCTCCACATCAACATGGGTTTCGGAATAACTAATCAAGCGCGCCGTATTATTATTCCTCCAAAGTAACGCCAGTCCCCCACTAAAACCAACAGAATCCACGTAAAACAGTCCTTCAAAGCCAAGCTTGAACGTAACTTTTCTGCGTGGTCACGTTTCACCTTAGTCTCCATTAGAAATACAAAGTCAGGCTTCTTACAAGACGCCATGTCCACTAGCTCACGAACTGTTCGTGGATTGCTCAAGCCTCGACAGTTCTAACTTATTGTACTCATGATGATGGGCGGGTCTGGGAACCAGAACCCGCCAACTGCAAGTTTATTGACAGATCAGTCATAACAACATCATCACCCACGGCTTCCCCCCTCCTGCCGCTTCCTCCGGAGAGCTCATGACGCCTCTTCGTCGTTGCCACCACCCCATATGTCTCCTCTTGACCACCCTCCGCACCTCCCCCTACCACCACCTCCCGGACAGCTTCCACCACCGCCCCCTCGCTCCCTACCCCGACCTTCCGCACAGGACCAGTGCTCGGAATGAGCCACGGGTCACCCACCGCCCTTGGACCACGGCTCCCACCAGCTCTAAGACCCTCACCAAACAGGTAATCACTCACCGGCATCCCCGAGTTCCTGGCCTTCTTACATAATTTATATGAGTGCCCCAGCATTCCACATAAAAAAAACAAAATGTGTGAAGGCGTTCATACTTAAACAGCACCCAACACGTCGTTTTGTCACGTTTTACCAGCTTCATTCCCCTCTTAAGAGGCTTATCAACATCAATCGCCACACGAACATGGTAAAACGCCTTCCAAGGGGCTCCCACAAAACGATCATCACAACGTACAAAACTCCCGATAAAGTTACCAGCTTGTTCCAAAATTGCATCAGAAGTATACCCATAGGGAGGCCATGCAGTTGCACCCACATATCCACGGAGTCCAGTTTAACATCACCGGGCTATACACCATCAAGAACCCACCGGCAAACTAAGGTGTGATTGTCAAAAGACCACGGACCCTCCTCAAGCACCCGCACTACGTCCGTTTCATGATAAAAAAAAAAAATGAAGAGGAACAGGTTCGGTTGTAGCTCAGAAACATGTACCCCATCTACCGGTTGCCAAACGGAGACCAAGACCTGCCGCATGAACTCAATCTTAATCAGCTTGTTAGTCAGAAAACGGCCTACGATCGCCCATGTTACCTCCCCAGCCACTGCCTCAGCGCCGTCCACCACCGTCGGGACGAACTCATCCTCATCCTCCAAGTCCATGTCCGCCCAGCGCCTTGTGAGACCGGTAACCTCATTCGAACTCGTCGCACCAGCCATGTAGAACGCCTGGCTAGCCTAGCAACTGTAAATTGCACCGCACAACAGTCGGAGAAACAGCGAAAGACGCTGGAAGAAGACAAGAAAACGTCGGAACCCTAGTTTTAGGGAAGAAGGCAAAACCCTAATTCGTAGGGAGAGAGAGACGCACTATTTGTATAATGTTTGTGGTTATAATTTGTGTTTGTATAAACCTATCTAAATTTAATAAAATTATTTTTTTCTTCATTAACCTATACTTTCCTCTTACCTAAACTCTACCAATATTTCTCTCTCCTAAACATTACAATCTTTCTCTAAAAATTCGAAATAATTATTATTTTTAATTCATTATTGCTTGTTTATATTGATTTTTATTTTTTTATATGAATTTTTTATCCCTAACTTTCTCTAATTCTCCCTAAATACATGAACAAAGCAAATTTTTCATCGTCAAATTTTAGTATATGTTTCATAATATTCACATAAATACTTATATATTTTGATTTTTATAGTTTTTATGTTTATATTCGTAATATATATTTTTTCTTTTTTCTAACAACAAGTTACTACGAATAGCGAACTACTATTTGCAACAACAATTTGGAGTTGCAAACAGTAGCACCTTGTTGTTGTTCGTAGTTTCAAATTGCTATTGCAAATAATAGTTCTTTGCGTGAAGCCTAGCAATATATCAAGTATAATTTTTTTTATATATTATTAATATTATATATTTTTTATTTTATACAACTTGTAATTATATTTTTAAATATTTTATTTGATCAATTCTTTTATTATAAATTTTAGGCTAAATGTCATCCCGCACCATGAACCATTACCGATTATTCATGCCGCACCATGATATTTAATAAGTGATATTTTAAGCCATAAACCAAAAAAAAAATTCCGCCTAGCATTTTTTGTAGGTTATCCGGTAATCCTGTTGACATGGCACGGTAATAAGCTGATGTGGCCTTATTTTTCAGTCCATGTAAGCATTTTTAATTTTTTTTTTTTAAAAAAAAACCGCTGCCATTGAGTAAACATGTTCTGAGCATCTCTCCTTACATAATCGCGAGGAGACGTCCGGAACTGCTCCTACTGGCAACGGATGAGACGCTCCGACTTGCGGCTTGACGGTGAGAATGAAGACTTCCTCGAGGAAAGCCGTCGTGGCCGAGTGATCGACCACCCCATCTGGTATATCCGCACCTCGAGGAAAGACTTGCTCCGTTTGCCTGAACCAGTTTCGCCACGGCGAGAATCTCCTGTTGTTGCCCAAATGCAGCCACACATTTTGCGATGGCGAGAAATGAGAATCTCCGGTTGCTGCCCGCTGTGCCGCGCCGCCATTGTTTCCGACGTCCCCACAGCTTCGCTTCCCGCTACCTCACCCGAAATCGAAGTAGTTCCGGCGAAAAACGGCGCGGAAGACGACGGAGAATCCAGCAACAACGACAAGCAAGTCGGAAGCGAAGCAGAATCACAATCCTCATCTCCGTCGCCCTCTACAACTGCCTTCTCGTTTCCGCCTCCAGGAACCTCACCGACCTCCCCTCCGACATCAATGTGCTCCAGCGAATCAGAATTCTTCAGTAACATTAAAGGGTGAAAATAATTCAATAGAGTTAAAACTAATATTTTGCAAATAATTATATCCTTGAGCCTATCATCTGAGAAATGAAGCTCTATAGCTTGTGAGCCTTTTCCGTCTGCTGTGGGTGGAATGTGAGTTGGTCTATTGCCCAATAGTTGAGGAACTAACAATGAGTGGCCGCTTTTGTTGAAGATAAGAGAATGAAGCTGGCTGTGGCAGAACAAATGGAGCTTGACAACGAGAAAGATGGCCTCTTCCTCTCCACTGGAATCGTTACTTGAGAATTAGAAGTAGCAAATGGAAGGAGAAAAAAGAAAAATAAGAAAAAATAAAATAAAATAATAAAAAATTTCATGTCAGCATCAAATACGGTAACTTGTAAGAAACCTACAAAACAATGCTATGCGGAAAAAAATATTTGGTTCATGGCTCGAAATATCACTTATTAAAGATCATGGTGCGGCATGAATAATCGCGAATGGTTCATGGTGCGGGATGACACTTTAGCCTAAATTTTATTACTCAATATTGTTATGAATTTCTAATGAAATAATTTTTTTGTTGATGTTTATTAATAATATATATAAGTAATTAGCATATAAATCTTAGCATACTATGGATAAAAATAATAATGTTGAGAATGTTGATGTGGGTGGAAAACTATATAATAAGAAGAATTTTATGATATATTATAAATGTTTTGTAAGAAAATTATAAATTATAAGAATCAAAATCATTGAAAGTTTGTAAGGATGTATTCAATTTAGAATTTCAATTACTTTTGTAGACTTTTTAAAATAAAAAGTTGATAAAAGTCTATGAATATTTTTTATATAGACTTTTATAGAGTCTTATAAAGTTTTAAAAAGTTTTGAACGACTCTATGAAAGCCAATCAAAGTTTATTAAAATCTATCATTTTAAAAGTCTTTAAAACTGTACGAAAGTCATGATTGAATACACCCCCTTAGATGTGTCTATTCTTCCTCCTTGGTATTTGGATTCTAATGTGTCTCGTATGCAATTCCTTTGTTGATTGGGTTGTTGAAAGCATGGGGAGCTTCTGTTTATGAGTCTGTCTGATCTTCCACCGAGGGTTCATGCTTTATTGGTTCATGATGATGTGCCCCCAGTCTTCTTTGACGTGGAGGATCCTCATTGAGTGTTTGGCATTTGTTTGCTTGTTTTGTATTTTTGAAAAATGAAAAAAAAAAAAAAAAAAAAACCGATGAAGAAAATGGAAAAAGAAAAAGAAATTAGAGAAAATAGAAAAGAGGGAATGAGGAAAAAGGAAAAGAAAAAAGAATTTGAAAAGAGGAAAAGAATAAGTAGAAGTGTTTGGCTTGTTTGGAGGAAATGATGGCTTGGCTTATGTCGGATCTAGTCTCAACGCAAATGTCAGTGATACAAGAGGCACCCTAGTTCGGGTTGAACGATCGTCGGGCAAGATTTGTCAAATCTGTTAACCTAGTCAGGCTTGTTGTTAGCCAATAGTAATTTAATCCCTTCTAGGTTACGGGTGGGGTTGGTTATATGTGGCAGGATTTGCCTCTTGTTAGTGTCTTCTTCTTTCTTTCTCTCTTTCTTTTCTCATGATTGTTTCTTGCTTCTTTCTTCTCTTTTTCCTTGTTTTTATGCAATTTTTTTTTCTTTTTCCTTATTGTTGTTCTTGCATGCCTTCATTTGTTTTGTTTATCTGAGGCGTATTTGATCTGGTGTTCTTTTGGTTTGGCCCTTGCGTGCATTCTTTAAACAGATCATGTCTCAACGTGGATGCTTGCGGTAAGAAGTTACATCGTAGCCTAGCTGACCGGTGACCAGGTAGGATTCATCAAATCCGTTGGTCTAACCAGGCTTGCTGTTGGCGAATAGTAGCTAATCCCGTTAGGGTTTAGGTTGCTAAGTTAGGGTTTGTGTTGTTGTATTCTAGTTGTGATCTTCCCTGTGACTTTCTTGTTGTTTAGATTGCCTGCGTGCCTTTAGCTAGACCAGTGTGCCATTTTGTTTATTGCGTTTTCAGTTGTATTTTCTTGAATACTTGTGCGCCACTCTATATATTATAGGCAGCATGTGTGCCATATGTGTTGGTGCAAGTGTTTTGTTGTTGTTGCCGATGTCTTTATCTTCTTTGGATAGTCCTGGATCAACCGTTATGCTGCTAATTTTTTGGTTGTGATATGAGTATTATGGGTAGCTTGTGTGCCATAATGTGTTGGGCAGATGTTAACTGTTGTTGCTGGTGTTTCTGTCCAATCGTTATACCGTGCACCACGGCGCACATAGCAATGTGCTCCCCGCGCCTTTCAAAACGACGTCGTTTTATTAAGTTGTGTGGTGAGTTGACATGACAGAGTGTATGTGTATTTTGTTATATAATTATGTATATTATGTTCTACAATTATGTACATTTTTTTATACAATTATGTACATTCTTTTATACAATTATGTGCATCCGAAGCAAGGAATTTTTTTTAAAAGTTAAGAGTTTATGTGTATTATGTATTATGTTAGATTATGTGTATTATCTTTTCAAAACAGAGTATGTGTATTTTGTTATACAATTATGTACATTCTGTTATACAATTATGTACATTTTTGAAACATGAGATTTTTTATTTTTTTTTAAGAAGTTAACCGCAGACACGGAAAGCGAAATTTTCAACAAAAAAAAAAAAAAAAAAAAAACAGTAGAAAATGACGTTGTTTTGCACCAGAGCTCACAATGCAATGTGCCCCTTGGTGCACGATATAAATTGTCGTTTCGGATTGTTATGTTGTGCAACTGTGTGCACCATGCAGATTCACAATTTTTATATTGTAGATTCATAATTTTTATATTGTTGATTCATAAAATCTATACTGTAGATTCATAATTTTTAAACCGTAGATTCATAATTTAAATACAGTAGATTCATAATTTCTATACAGTAGATTCATAATTTTTATATTGCAAATTCATAATATATGTACTGTAGATTCATAATTTCAAAACTGTATAGTTATCAAATTATAAACATATAGTTATGTGATTTGTAAATACAGAGTTCAACAATTGGGAATATGAACATAAAAAATTATGAACATATAGATCTATAATTATGAAGATATATTTATAAAATTATGAATCTATAATATAGAAATTATGAATCTAGACCCGTATGCACCATGCATCCCACGGTTGCACAGCATAATTTTCCGAATTATGATGTGAGCACGTGCCCACCTTACAATGTGAGCACGTGCCCACCTTGCAATGTGAGCACGTGCCCACATTGCAAAGTGGGCACGGTTCCATATCCATAATTTCTATACTGTAGATTATATATCCATCACTACTGTACCCACGAAAATTCCTTCGGGAAAAACATCAACATCTCCAACTCCAACTCCAAAACACCCAAAATCTCACATTCAACAAGTAAATGACTTGAACACATGAATAGCTAAAAGAATAGCATTTATGAACCCTAGATACAAGCTCTAAACATGCATAAACACAATATTATGCATCAAATCACTCACAACATCAAGAACAACCATAGAATGTCAAGAAATCATCATAACAAGTGTAAAATAGGTTTTGTAAAGCATGGGTTACCTTTGTAGACCACAAATCTCTTCCTTAGACTCCTAGACTTCTCCTTGGAGTTCCTCCTCACCCAAATCTTCTCAACAAAACCAAAACCACACAAAGAAAAACCATTCTTAGATAAAGACTATGAAAGACTAACCAAGAACACTAGTTAAGCTAAGATCTTACCATTCCTAATGCTTTAATGGTGGAAAGGTGAAATCTTGAAGAGATCCCTTGCAAGGAAGAAGGTGGACTTTACTTGGCTTGGGAAGAAAGCTACTATTCTAGAGAGAAGGGGGAGAGTTTAGAGTGTCTTGCCAAATGAGGAAAATGAAATGTGATCTTGCTAGGGAAAGGCTTGAATGCCAAGCAAAGGTGAAAAGACAAGAATACCCCTACTAAAAGGCTAGGAAGACAAAAGGTCATGTACAACTTATAAAGCTCAAAGTCCCTTTTTCTTTTTAATAAATCAATTGACGAAGGAATTGGTCAATTCAAGTCCTCCGACTTTCAATTAAAGAATTGGAAGGGGAAATTCATGAGAAGGCTTAGAATTAATTACATAATTAATCCCATTTAAGGATTGGATTTTCGGGGTATCACAGAAACATAGAGGAAAGGTTCTGAAAAAACAATTTTGGATGTGTGCTAATGCAACCACTACAGAGAAATTCAATGCAATAGTTGACCAAATAGGGTTAAAGGATGCACAAGCTAAAGCAGATTTGGCTAATTACCCAGCAAAATTCGGGTGCAAGGCTTTTATGAGAACATAAGTGAAGTGTGATTCAGTGGATAACAACATGTGTGAGGCCTTTAATGGAACAATTGTTAAGGCAAGGAGCAAACCAATAGTGAAGATGTTGGAAGATATAAGGGTAGCTACCATGACAAGGATTGCAAGGTGTAGAAAACAGGTAGAGAAATGGCCTGGTAACTATGGACCTAGGATAATGAAAAAACTAAATGAGAACATAGTTGAAAGTATAGGTTGGCATGTTGACTTCAACGGGGATGATGGCTATGAGATCAAGAAGGGTAGGCAGCAATTCAAGGTGAAGCTACAACGAAAAACATGTTCATGTAGATCTTGGGACCTCACAGGTATACCTTGTGCACATGCATGTTGTGCTATATTTGATCTAGGCAAAGATCCAGAAGACTACATTGATCAATGCTACTCCAAGGAAGTTTACAAGAGAATTTATAGTCATATTATCCAGCCTCTTAATGGGGAAATCAGCTGGCCTAGGACTAATTGTGAAGAAACCTTAGCTCCTTTACCAAGGTCAATGACTGGTAGGCCCAAGAAAAAAAAAAAAAAAAAAAAGAACCAGAGAGCCTACAGAACCTCCAATTGGGAAAATTTCAAGGCAAGGTAGAGTGATGACATGTTCGATTTGTAAACAAAAGGAACATCAAAAGAAAGTTTGTCCTGCAAAGAGTTCTATGCCACCTACTGCCTTAGCTTCTGTTGCTGCCTCAACTTCTATTCTAGCTGGTGCCTCAGCCTCTGTTGCTGCCTCAACTTCTATTCCAGCTAGTGCCTCAGCCTCTGTTGCTACTTCAGCGTCTGTTGTTGCTTCATCCTCTAGTTCTGCATCAACTACTAGGAAAAGTAAACAAAGGAAAACATCTGGTGGTGGATTTGGTGTATACATAAACCCAAATACTGGAGCACAAATATTAAATGTAAGCTAATCCATGGTTCTGAAATTTATGTGTTATTCATGGTTATAAATAACATGCATAATGTATTAACCTTTTGTTTGCATTTTGTAGCCTGGAAGAAGAGGACAACAAGTGCTATCAGTAGGAGGGAAAGAAAGTGAAACTACTGCCAAGAAGAAACAGTGAATGGTCTGGGGAAAACAAGAGCAACTAAGCCTGGAAGTTGTTTTTGTCTAACTTTGTAAACGGTGAATGGCCTAACTTTATAAACTGTCTGTGGCCTAATCTTTTGTTGGTGGCTGTGAATGGCTTGACTTAGTAAACTGTCTGTGGCCTAATCTTTTGTTAGTGGCTGTGAATGGCTTGACTTAGTAAACTGTCTGTGGCCTTATGTATACGGTTAATGCTTTCATTTTTTGACAGTGATGGGAAACTGCCAGTCAACACATGTGTTATAATGCTTATGGTTAATGGTTTATAATGTTTATGGTTAATGGTTTCATCTTTTAACTTCATGGCTTATGGTTTTAGCTTTTAGTATGACTTATAGTTTAAGCTCTGAGTATGCCTTATGGTTTATTGTTGCAATCAATAAAAATGACCACTTTACTGATCTGCAGTTAAAATACCAACACCTCTAAAAGATGACCAAAACAATAAAAATTCATAAACCTAATCATTTACATTAAACAACAATTCATGCTATTGATTTGCAGTAAACAACACCTCTAAAAGATGACCACTTTACTGATTTCCAGTAAACAACAATTCATATTGATTAATCATTTACAGAATACAAGCAAGTTGAGGTTTCTTCATAAACCTAGTGTAACACCCCGTGTTACGATCCCTAAAACCAATTAAATCATTTAATTAATCACCTAAGAGAAAGAATTAAATCACAACAATTAATTAGGGAGGCCCACCATAGTCCATGGGCCCTTATCCCTAAACCCAATCCTTAGTCCTAAAAGGAATAGAGTTAGCAGACCTATAGTAATTAGACCCTAAGTAAGACTCTTAAATATATAAATAGGGAACATAAGGAGGCACCTAGAACTCCCACCACAATAATCTCTCACCACACCAAGAATTCCAAGAATTCCCTAGGAGAAATCAAGAAACGAGAAAGCTTAAAGAAAGACCCTTCATAGCCAAAGAATCAATTAAGGCTAAGAGGTAACCCATGTCTCAACAAAACATATTTTCATAGCTATGATTCCCCTCTTAGGATTTCCCCATATTATTGTGTATTGATGATTTGTCATATTATTATTGATGATTGGTGGGATGATTCCATGGGTGATCTTGATGATGAGAGGTTCTTGATAATTATGGTGTTCTTGACGATTATATAACGTTCTTGATAATTATATGGTGTTCTTGATGTTCTTAATGATTATATGAGGTTCTTGATAGTTATATGACATTCCTACCAAATCTTGATTTTGGAAGATGAATTGTGTTCTTGTTGATTTAAAAATAATTAGAACCCTAGGTATATCGTGGAATTCGTATGGTATTATTCTTGGTATATTGGGTGGGAATTCGCATGATTGGGTGTTGATTATGTTTAGAAAAGCATGATAGGTTATGTGCCATATGTTTCTTGATTTTGATCCGTTAAACGTCTACGTGTGTTATCAATTGCGTTTGAAAGTGTCTAAGCATGGTTTCGGGTTCCACAAAGGTTCCCGGGGCGTTTTTGGTGAAAAAGAGTCAGTGGGGGTAGGTGGGGGTAGGGGACCCGCCACCTACCCGCGGCCTATTTGGGCAACGCCGGCAGCGGGCA